GAGATCTAGGCATCAAGGAAGGAATACACACACACACACACACACACACTTAGCCGCCAGAGCCAGAGATAAGAGATAACGATGATCTGGAAGGCCATACATTCTCTGCCTCTGTTCTAATAATAATTACTCTTTTTAGCAATGCCTGACTTCTTATAGTCAAGCATAGAGATGGGCATGAACTGCCAGTTTGTTTATCACTTCAAAGGGCCACTTCCTCTGGCAGGTACCCACTTGGAGGCTGCAGCCTGGTTTCCCTGCCTTGCCTCCTCTGGACACTGGCCCTCAGTGGGTGCCCGCTGGAGGAGGTGGGGCTTTGTAGTACTGAACAATAAACAAACTGGCATGCACTGCCGAACTGGTGGTTTATGCCCATCTCTAGTCCACTTTAATTATTTTGCTCTGCTGAGCAGAGAGGGTTACATCATATCCCCTTTCTTTGAAACTTCCTACAAATTCCTCAGGCTTGGGCATTTATGCTGTATCAGCTTTCACACTTCTGTATTTCATACCACCACAGAAAGGTAAAGGTAAAGGTTCCCCTTGACAATTTTTGTCCAGTCGTGTCCGACTCTAGGGGGCGGTGCTCATCCCCGTTTCCAAGCCATAGAGCCAGCGTTTTGTCCGAAGACAATCTTCCGTGGTCACATGGCCAGTGTGACTTAGACACGGAACGCTGTTACCTTCCCACCAAGGTGGTCCCTATTTATCTACTTGCATTTGCATGCTTTTGAACTGCTAGGTTGGCAGGAGCTGGGACAAGTGACGGGCGCTCACTCCGTCGCGTGGATTCGATCTTACGACTGGTGGTCTTCTGACCCTGCAGCACAGGCTTCTGCGGTTTAGCCCACAGCACCACCACCACAGTAGCATCAGGGTATTGCTCTTTTCCAGGATACTTAATTTACCCTGACCACTGGTTCACTTCAACATATGGGATAGCACTGATTTGCAGGGACAACTGGCAGGTCAAACTGCATCACTCTTTATGTCATGTGGTGTCTACTTCTACCTTTACATGAGCCACCAACTTCTTAAGGGACCTTGAGCAACCTAGTATTTTCTAAACCCACCCTCCTCCAACAATGTTGGTTAAATATAGTGAATTGCTTTAGTGTGGAGAATAACCATGATAATATGCAAGAAATATCTTGAACATTTCAAATGTGCTAGATTTGCTATCTGTCTATTATTATTACAGCCTTAGCAGCCTGCACGTAGAGGTAAGAAATTAGGTACAGTACTGTGTCTGCAAAATGTGTATCTGTATTACACAGGTATTACATAAGTAAGGCAGTAGCTGTAAGCACACTTATGGTACCACACTTGGGAATAACTGCCACTTAATTCAGTGGGACCCACTTCCAAGAAAGCACTCATAGATCACAGAATTACAAGGCAGAAAAGTCCAATTGTAATTTGTTGGACTTACTCCTGGGCAACAAGTTTAGTATTACAAGCTGAAAAGAGCATTAAGACAAGAACTGCATGATGTCTGAGGATGTAAAATCAGTCTTCTCTTTCAGGAGACATGCTCTGGAATCATGGCTTACTTGATGGGAAGAAAGGATCTGAAGGCTTACTATTTTCTTCCTTGCATGGAAGTAAACAGATTGGGCCTCCTGCTTCCTTGCAGGAGGTGAGGAGAGAGCTGTAAACTTGTCTTAACTATGATTACTTACAAACAGATCTTATTTCTGGTGGGTTTAGGATTTTAGCCTCCTATCACCTTGCCTGCTAATCTCTATAGCTGTCAAGCAAGAAGGATCTATGATAATCAGAACTAAGGATGGTAGTTACTCTGTTTCCCTGAAAATAAGCCCCAGGCCTGGCGTGCTCTGGTCCATGGGGTCAAGAAGAGACAGACACGACTAAACAACAAAAAATGATTTTTCATGATGCTCGTAATGTAAGCCCTACTCAAAAAAATAAGTCTGTTAAATGAAACCCCACCCTGCACCACTGTGCAGCAACCAGAAGAAGATAACATGACTGTAAAGTAAAACATTCCCTGAAAATAAGCCCTAATTAGTTTTTTGGAGCAAAAATTAATATGGCCCTGTCTTATTTTGGGGAAAACACGGTAAAAATACAATAATAACCAGCTGTGGTTGCAGATACTGGTTACTTCAGCCTAAGGCACCTCCGGATATTTGGACTACAGTCCCTATCAGCCAGCAAGACAATTGTAGGATGGTGGGTACTGTAATTCCAAAATCTAGAGCATTAGGGAAGGCTGGGTTAGGGTGACTTGTTACCACAAGCGTACATTGTGTTTTGGACTATGGAGATAAGGGTTCAAACAGTATTCAGTAGAAGTATTTTTTTAAAACAACAGACAAGGCAGCTTCATATATTCCATTCTAATTTGCAGAGGTGTGTGTGTGTGTGTGTGTGTGCATGTGTGTGTTGTGATTCTGTTACAGCAAGTACAAACACAAAAGTATTGTGTTGTCCATAAGACTAACAAAAATGATTTCAGTGTGAGCTCTTGTGCATTACAAATCACTTCTTCAAATATTGGCCAGTACCTATTGTAGGGACGTGGTGGCACTGCGGGCTAAACCGCAGAAGCCTGTGCTGCAGAGTCAGAAGACCAAGCAGTCGAATCCACGCGACGGAGTGAGCTCCCGTCGCTTCTCCCAGCTCCCGCCAACCTAGCGGTTCGAAAGCATGCAAATGTGAGTAGATAAATAGGGACCACTTCGGTGGGAAGGTAACAGCGTTCCGTCTCTAAGTGCGGCCATGTGACCACGGAAGATTGTCTTCGGACAAACGCTGGCTCTATGGCTTGGAAACGGGCATGAGCACCGCCCCCTAGAGTCGAACACGACTGGACAAAAATTGTCAAGGGGAACCTTTACCTTTACCTATTGTCAGCCCCTCCAAAGAGTAGAATCAATTGAATCTATTACTGAACAAGTACATCATATTGTAGTTTTATGCCTTCATTTATGGAAAAGACTCCCCAATCTGAAAAGCTGTCCTCCTTTTTGGTGTTGTCTAAGTGGCCAATCCCCCCCCCCATCAGTTTCCCTGGCTGAGCAGGGAAAACAGAGGTTTTGATTGGCAAAAATATCTTATCAAATATCTCTAATTTTTAAAGTAAAATGATCCGAGGAAGAGCATTTTGTAAGAAAATGCACAACCACACACATTGACATAATTACTGATGGAGGTAGGAAGGATAGGGCATGGCATGTCAATTCTGTGTGAACTTTAGAAGGCAGGTCGATTGAAATAACGGATTGTTACCTAACTAGATATTTCAACAAAACTTCAGTGACCTCTGTTTGTTTTCATTCTCTATATATTCACTTTGAGTAAGCTGAATGTACAAGGCCCAGGGCATTTTGGAGAGTTATGAAACACTGTATCTTATTCATTTATTCGATTTATATCCCATTTTTATCTCAGTGCTGTGTCCCAAGACACAGTCATGCAGTATTGTGCACAGTAGCGTATTTCCACTTAAATTACAGCAATAAGGTCTGACTGTGATACTTGCGCATATTAATTTTAATTAGCATATGCAAACCTAATATAAAAAATGTCCTATTTTATGAAGAATGCCCTCTTTTTTTGTGTGTGTTCCCTGTCCTTTTTGTGGGGACAGAGCAGTGATCACTCTCCAGTAGGTCAACGCTTATTCAGCCCCCTAGTGCCAAAGGGGTCTGCTCTAGTAAGGACTAGCAATGGGACACGAACCACTGAGTAGACCAGAATCCAGAAGAGCTCCCGCTGACCGGCACAGGGATGAAACCCTTGCCTACGTTCACCCAGTGACAGGAATTCCAAGCCCAAGCAACCCCCAAGTGCTCATTCGGGGGAAGGAGACACGGATCCTGCGCGTGCCCCGCCAGCCCGCCCGCCCGCATACTTGGAACGGTGCGTCACGCTCGCGGCCAAGAAGGGCGCCGGGGCGAAGCGGCGCCCTGCCCACGCGTTACACCCACCCGAACCCAACCATCTTGCATGTTGGAACGTTTCGCCCGAGTCCTCCCTCCCCGTCACGTCAGCAAGCCAAACCCCCTCGGCGACCCGGGAAGCCTGAGCGGCGGAGACGACACAGACCAACCCCCCGCCGCCTTCTCACGAAAAGCGGGAATTTCCTCAGGGGAAGGCGGCTAGTGTGTGGGAAGGAAAGGGGAAGGCGAAAAAGGAAGGAGAGAGAGGGAGATAAATATCCCTTTTTTTTCCTCCTCCCGAGGAGGAAGCCAGAAGGCGGGCCAAGAGGCTTCTCCCTCTCTCCCCAAGCTGGTTCCTTGGCTTTTATTTCTTCTTCTCTCTCTTTCCCCTCCTCCTCTCTCAATTTCCTGTCTGGCTTTGTGCGCGCCACAGATTAGGTGCAGCAGCAGCAGGAGCAGCAGCGCCTACAGGTGTGTCGGCTCCTCGCTGTTTTTCCTCCCTTCCCGGGGCAGGACTGGCAGGGGCGCGCGA